CGCTGTTGCCTTTCTAGATTCAAAGAAATATGTTGAAGTTTTTTAAGTCCCCTATGGATATCATTCTCTGCCTTTTCCTTTAAAGCTTTTCAGTTAGTCTATTATTTGCCTCAATTGTTATCCATTTCCTTAGGCAGCCACAAAGTTAAAACTCTTGCTTGTAATTGTTTTTGAAAAATGCCCCCATAGAAAGGCTTTTTGCACTGGATGATCCAAGTCAGCTTTTCTTAAAAAGTTTTTTCCAGACCATCAGCCAGGTCAGATAATGACAGTTCCTTGGGAATGAGGCTTTAAAAGAGCTCCAGCTTTGTTCTAACCCTTGCAATGGCTGCCAATCTATCCTGGGAATGCAGACTACTATATTTTAATGCTAATGCTGAGCCACAGACTGGGGGCATGAAATGAAAATGAATATGTGAGAAAGCTGTTACTACCAAGCTGTTTTTCTTAAATAAATGCTCCTTGGGTTGCTGTAAGCCTTGCTTAATTTCCAGAAATCTGATAAAGTTTATTTGGACTTTTTTTTTTTTTTACCATTTTTATTGCTTTTATGAAGGGTTGAATTTTCAGAGGTCTTTCGTTGACTATTTTTGTTGACTTCATGTGAGATATATCCTTAAGTTGCTAAACCAATCTATTTTCACAACAGTAGTGATTTTACTATAGTAAGAATAATGATCTTGAGGGATTTCCTTAAAGGTGTAACTCAGTATTTTTGAAATCATAAGTGCCCAAACAAAATCAATTCAGTACATCTAAATTTATATTTATTTTATGGAAAATTTTAGTTTACCAGAAAATTTTATTTTGTACTTATCAGTTGAGGGTTTATTGTGATTTTTTCTCTTGTAGTACATGCTCTAATTTAAATGTAAAATTCATCCTCCTAATAGTTAGATGTGAAAGAACCACTGGATGGAAAGTCTATCAGTGTTTTACTTACCCCCTCCCCCCAAAAAGTCACCAATTGGGAGATAAAGTGATCTCCATTTTGAGACATAAACCAGTTTGGGGATTCTGCTTGTGCTGAGCATCTTTCACTCAAATTATCACTGCCAATCCCAGTCCACCCACAGATATAATGGTATCATTTTTTAGCAGAAAAAGTTGGTGGACACACCATAGGAAATGATGTATCAAGGTGGCAGGGTTTGTTTGGGTTCAGATGGGATCAGTAACAGTAGCAATAATTTTAGCATTGATGATACTGTTAATAGGACTGGGGAAGAGGTTAACAACCAATATAATCCAAAACCTTTGGATTATATTTTCACAGACATTAACCTCTATCAACGTGGAGGTTGACTTCTGTGAAAGCTCCAGTTTTTATCTCAGCCTAGAAAGTTTCCCTCACATCTAGTAAACAGAGGCTATCCATAATGTGCTAGCTCTAAGAAACACATACAGTCAGAATTATTTGGTTGGATTTAAGGAAAATTTAGAGTTTTGGCAAGATAGGTGAAGGGAGAGCCATGGAAATCCTTTCGTGTGTGTGTGTGCACGTGTGTGTGTGCACGTGTGTGTGTGCATGTTTTGTTTTTGTTTTTGTGCTTCTATTCAAAGCAGTCTGATGTGACTTAGTAAACATGCTTTATTTCTCTTTCTAATGATAATAACATCAACTAACATTTACCGAGCACTAACATTTCTTCCAGGCACTATTAGATACATTTACATGTATTAGATCACATCCTCAAAATCTTTTTATAAAAATGTCTACTTTCTTCAACCCTATTTTAAAGATTAGCAATCTGAGGTAAAGACAGGTTAAATAACTCACATTACATTATATGTTCAGTGTGTAGTAAAGTCAGGATTTTAATATGGACAGTATAATTCCAGAGGCTATGTTCTCAAACTCTACAATGCTCTGTTTTTTAAAAATGTAAATGCCACAAAATGATATCATTTTATTTAACTTACCAGTGAAAGCAAATTTAGTATAAGAAGTTATAGCCATTGTTGAATAGTTGTAGACTGATGGAGCTTAACATTGTATCATTTTTCTGCTCAAATTCCTACGCTGGTTCCTCATTTCATTTAGTGAAATGACAAAGTAGATAAATAACCTACAGGATTGTATAGTTTTTGGCCCTCTCTTATCTCTCACCTTTTTGCTTTTGCCTTATTCACTGTATTCCAGTGCTACTGACTACCTTGATATTTCTGAAACCCACCAGGCAAGCTCCAGTTTTTATCTCATCCTAGAAAGTTTT